TGGGTAAAACCTAACATTTTCTAGATAATAAAAAGCAGTCTGAGAGATATGGGTGACACATTTAAAAATACTAACATCCGAAAATATATCATTTTATAGATTTGACTTGGGAACCATATAAGTTTCTTTTACAATGATAAAAAGTCCAAAAGAAAATGAAAACTAATTCTTTAAAACTGAAAAGAAAATGAAACAAATGAACCTCGCCGTGCTGGCTTAGTGACTTAGCCACATACATGTGACTCTAAACACAGCAATTTGACTGTACCAAATAACAAGAAAAACAAAAAAAGGAAGAAACTATTCTCATTAATCATACTATTAGCAAAAATATTGGTATTGTTATTTCAATACATAGTGGGTAAAATAAATGGATTGGTAAATTAGTGTTGTTAGCAACTAAGATTTTCAGCATAAGAGAAAACATATAAAAATACAAGATCACCTAAGTGAATGAAGCCTTGTAATCCTAAATTTGAACTGGAAATAATATGAACTTATGATGCATTTCTTTTGTAAAATTTTTACTTCCTAGCTTTGATTATTGAAATTTTAGGTAATTGTGGTTTTTGCCATTAAAAGTAATGGCAGGCCAGGCGTGGTGGCTCATGCCTGTAATCCCAGCACTTTGGGAGGCCGAGGCAGGTGGATCATGAGGTCAGGAGATCGAGACCATCCTGGGTAACACGGTTGAAACCCCATCTCTACTAAAAATACAAAAAAATTAGGCAGACGTGGTAGTGGATGCCTGTAGTCCCAGCTACTCGGGAGGCTGAGGCAGGAGAATGGCATGAACCCAGGAGGCAGAACTTGCAGTGAGCCGAGATCGCGCCACTGCACTCCAGCCTGGGCGACAGAGTGAGTGAGACTCTGTCTCAAAAAAAAAAAAAAAAAAAAGTAATGGCAAAACCCTCAAATTCTTTTGCACCAACCTACTACCTAGAAACAATGACCAACCCAGCAATAACACAGATTATGGTCTCTAAGAACAATTTCAAAGTGAAAGGAATTACAGCTCCCGGGAGAAATGGCTGATTCCGAGAGTGGGGCAGGAAATGTACAAGATGATCTTAGGACATCTTGGTAATCAGAAGAAAGGAGGCTATCAAAGATTACTATGGTTGTGTCAAAAGGGCTCAGGAACCAACCCACTGACTCTTGCTGGCTAAAGATGAAATTCTATGAGCATCTGAAAGAAGAATAACTACATTGCAGTGAAACACATTAACGATTCTAAAGTCCATGAGTTACCAATGATCCTAAAAACAAAACAAATCAAACCAAAATGCATTGGCCTCCTTTGGAAGGTATTTTAAAGAACCAACTTATTATTCTGAAAATGGACAAATAAAAGAATTGAGCATTTATCTTGCCTTTCCTGTAGGTACTGTATCTTAGTCGATGAAAAAAAGCTTTCTCCATAGTAGTCCAACTAATAAGAAGGACTGATAGACTTAAAATAGAGCCATTTTGCAAGTGCCTACAGAAATAAGAGCTCTAGGCAATGGTGATCATCGACTGCTAAAATCCCCTGAAGAGAGACTGCCAGACGTTAGGAGCCTGCTGATTGAATAATACAACTAACTACGAAATATTCTTGCTGAAAACTCAAACCTGAATCAGATAAAATCTTTAAATCTAAAGACCAATTCACGGAACATACAAGGGATGGAACAACGTCAAAAGATGCCACAAGGATACAACCAATGGAACACAGATTGTGAGGTACTCTACAGAGCAAATGATCCAGTTTTTAAAAATATGTCAATTGCAAGGGAAATTTTTTTTTTTTTTTTTTGAGACGGAGTCTCGCTCTGTCGCCCAGGCTGGAGTACAGTGGCGCGATCTCGGCTCACTGCAAGCTCCGCCTCCCGGGTTCACGCCATTCTCCTGCCTCAGCCTCCCGAGTAGCTGGGACTACAGGCGCCCACAACCGCGCCCGGTTAATTTTTTGTATTTTTAGTAGAGACGGGGTTTCACCGTGGTCTCGATCTCCTGACCTTGTGATCCGCCCGCCTCGGCCTCCCAAAGTGCTGGGATTACAGGCGTGAGCCACCGCGCCCGGCTGCAAGGGAAATTTTAAAAAATAGGTGGAGGCAGAAGCCATAGATAAAGGAGACTGAAGAGACATACCAGCCAAAGGCAAATGTGTGGAGGGATGAATCCTTCCCTAGTACTCTCTGTCTTAAAGAATGCCGCCACTAGTAACGCAGGTGCCAGAGTCAGGAATCTGGGATTTGCTTTTATTCCTTTCTTTTCCTTAGCCCCCTCCACCTGCATGCAATAAATGAGACCCAGCCCTACTCGTTTTACTTCCTAAGTGCCTTTAAAAATATCATTTGTTTTGATTTTTAATTGTAGCAAAATACACTTGACATAATATTTACCACTTTATTATTATTATTATTTTTGAGACAGAGTCTTGCCCTGTTGCCCAGGGTGGAGTGCAGTGGCATGATCTCAGATCACTGCAACTTCCACCTCCCAGGTTCAAGAAATTCCCCTGCTTCAGCCTCCTGAGTAGCTGGGATTACAGGCACCTGCCACCACACCCAGCTAATTTTTGTATTTTTAGTAGAGATGGGGTTTCCCCATGTGGGCCAGGCTGGTCTCGAATTCCTGATCTCAGGTAATCCACCCGCCTTGGCCTCCCAAAGTGCTGGGAATACAGGCATGAGCCACTGTGCCCGGCCAATTTACCACCTTAATTTTTAAGTGTACAATTCAGTGATATTAAATGTACATTCATATTGTAGTGCAACTGTCACGACCATCTATCTTCAGAACCTTTTTCATTTTGTAAAACTGAGACTATAAAACAGTAACTCCTCATTCCCCCCAACCCCCAGCCCTGGCAACCACCATTCCACTTTATTCTATGATTTTGACAACTCTTAAGTATTTCACGTAAGCAGAATCATATAGTATTTGCCTATTTGTGACTGGCTTATTTCACTTAGCATAGTATCCTCAAGGTTTATCCATGTTGTAGCATGTGCTAGAATTTCCTTCCCCTTTAAGGCTGACTACTATTCTTTTGTATGGATATACCACATTTCCTTATCCTTTCGTTGGTGGATGGACATTTGGGTAGCTTCCACATTTTTTAGTTCTTGTGAATGATGTTGCTGTGGACCTTAGTGTACAAATAACTCTTCAAGACCCTGCTTCCTATTCTTTTTTTTTTTTTTTTTTTTTTTGAGACGGAGTCTCACTCTGTCGTCCGGGCTGGAGTGTAGTGGCCGGATCTCAGCTCACTGCAAGCTCCGCCTCCCGGGTTTACGTCATACTCCTGCCTCAGCCTCCCGAGTAGCTGGGACTACAGGCGCCCGCCACCTCGCCCGGCTAGTTTTTTGTATTTTTTTAGTAGAGACGGGGTTTCACTGTGTTAGCCAGGATGGTCTCGACCTCCTGGCCTCGTAATCCGCCCGTCTCGGCCTCCCAAAGTGCTGGGATTACAGGCTTGAGCCACCGCGCCCGGCCCTTGCTTCCTATTCTTTTGGGTATATACTCTAAAGAGGAATTGCTAGATCATATGATAATTCTATTTCGTTTTCAGGAACCTCCATACTGTGTTCTACAGAGGCTGTCCATTTTACATTCCCACCAGTAGGGCGTAGGTGTTCCCATTTCTCCACATCCTCGCCAACACTTGTCGTTTTCTGTTTTTTTGATCGTAGCCATCCTAACAGGTGTGAGGTGGTATCTCACTGTGGTTTTGATTGTCATTCCCCTAATGATTAGTGATTCTAAGCATCTTTTCTTGTGCTTATTGGCATTTGTATATCCCTTTCAGAGACATGTCTATTCAAGTTGTTTGGGTTGAGTTGGGTTGTTTGGCCTTTGCTGTTGTTGTTGAATTGTAGGAGTTCTCTATATATTCTGGATATGATTCCTTATCAGGTATATGACTTGCAAATATTTTCTCCCATTCTATAGGTTTCCTTTTAACTCTGTTGAGAATGTCCTTCAATGCGCCAAAGTTTTAAATTTTCATGAAGTTCGGTTTGTCTCTTTCTTCCTTTTGTTGCCTGTGCCAAGTGCCTTTTGAATCTCTCTCTTCTCTCTACCCACCACCACCTTAACCCAGTCCAGGCCAACATCTTCCTGGACTCCTGTAATTGCCTTCTTACTGCTCCCTCATAGCCCTCACGGAAAACTTTTCTGTGGATCCCTCTTACCCTCAGAACAAAACTCAATCTCCTTACCATGTGACTCTTTGCCCATCTCTGCCTCTCCAAGGCATAGTGCACCTGGCATGTAATAAATGCTCCATAAACAGTCACTGTTAAATTAGGTGGTAGCTTGGGGATCTCTGAGACATCTTCTTATCTAAAGGTACCTCTCTCACCAAGCTTCCAGTGTCTCTAAACCCCACATGAGATATGCATTTCTGAACCCATCCCATAATTCTAGTGGTCCACTTTAAAAATAATTGTAATCATGGACATACAGAGTACACTAATAGACACTGGAGGCTGCAAAAGGTGAGAGGGTAAGAGGGGGCATGAGGGTTGAAAATTTACCTGTTGGGTATGGTGTTCACTATTTTGGTGATGGGTAGACTAAAAACCCAGATTTCACCACTATGGGATATATGTAGGTAAGAAACCTGCATTTGTTCTTTCTAAATATCTAAAAATAAAAAATAAGGCCATGCACAATGGCACACCTAGCACTTTGGGAAGCTGAAACCAGGAATTTGAGACCAGCCTGGGCAACATAGGGAGACCCATCTCTACTAAATAAATAAATAAATAAATAAATAGCTAGGTGTGGTGACATGCACCTGTAGTTTCCCAGCTACTTGGGAGAGTGAGGCAAGAAGATTTCTTGAGCCTGGGAGGTTGAGACTGTAGTGAACTATGATCACATCACTGCACCCCATCTGGAAAAACAGAGCGAGACCTTGTCTCTAAAATAAATAAAAGAGTTGCAATATTGAAACAAAGATTGTAGAAACCAAAGACATACATCTGAGCCTGAAGGCTGTGACTTACCTCCCAGCTGTGTGATGCAATTAAGATCTCTGGACCTTTGTTTCCTCATCTGTAAATTGAAGGCAATAAAGCAAAATTTTACAAAGATATTGTGTGATCTAGGGATCATATCTGTGAAGTGTCCGCTCTGTTTAACACATCACGGACACTCTAGAAGTACCTACAGTTTGGGTGATGAATAACTACAAGAAAAAATAGTAAGTAAAATAAACAAAAAATGGGAGCATTCAAAGAAAAGACTAATGGAGTCAACCCAGGTGCCTATCAATGGTGGATTGAATAAAGAAAATGTGGTACAGATACACCATGGAATACTATGCAGCCTTAAAAGAGAATGAAATCAGCCAGGTGTGGTGGCTCATGACTGTAATCCCAGTCCTTCGGGAGGCCAAGGTGGGCAGAATACCTGAGCTCAAGAGTTTGAGACTACCCTGGGCAACATGGTGAAACCCTGTCTCCACTAAAATACAAAAAGTTAGCTGGGCATGGTGACCCTCACCTGTAGTCCCAGCTACTTGGGAGGCTGAGGCATGAGAATCGCTTGAGCCTCGGAGGCAGAGGTTGGAGTGAGCTGAGATCGCGCCACTGCACTCCAGCCTGGGCAACAGAGCAAGACTCTGTCTAAAAAAAAAAAAAAAATGAAATCATGTCCTTTGCAGCAATATGGATGCATCTGGAGGCCATCATCCTTAGCAAACGAACGCAGGAACAAAAAACCATATACCACACGTTCTCACTTATATATGGGAGCTAAACATTGAGTACATGCAAACATAGAGATGGGAAAAATAAACACCGGGGATTCAAAAAGCGGGGAGGGAGGTAGGTGGATAAGGGCTGAAAAACTACCTGTTGGTTACTATGTTCGCTACTTGGGCAACTTAGACCCAAACTTCATCAACAATCTGTTCATGTAACAAACCTGCCCATTTACCCTTTGAATCTAAAATTTTAATAAAGCAACTATTTTGTCTTTTCAGCATGCACAACCTATTGAGGGTAATTATTGCCTTATTTATTATTGGTTGGGAAGGTAAGATTTCCCTGATTTTCCTACTAAGAAATAAATAATGATGATGGCCATAATCTATGTAACGTTTGCGATATGACACACTGCTTCCGTATGTAACCTCCTTTATATTTCTCCACCATGCTAGGAGGAAGGCACCTTGATGATCATATTTTATAGACAAGGAAGATAAAATGCTGGAAAGTTAAGTGACTTCTCCAGGACCACACAACCAAGTAAGGCAAACTTGAAATTAAATCTGGCTGTCCCTGACCTCAAAGTCTATGCTTAAATTTCCTCTTTCATCCTCAAGGATGGCCCTGGTTCTCACATTTTTTAACAGTAAACTTTCTATTTGAGAATTCATTTTGATTTCAGACAAGTTGTGAAGATCGCGGAGAGCATTCTAACATACCACCCTGTTTCCTCTATTTTTAACACGAATTATATCTTACATGAACATGGTAAATTTGCCAGAAGTGAACCTGTACTGATACATTAACTAAAATTGTTACTTTATTTGGATTCTCTTAATTTTTACTTAGTGTCCTTTATTTGTTTATTTAAAAATTTTTTTGATAGAGACTGGGTCTTGCTATGTTGACCAGGCTGGCCTCAAGTGATCTTCCCACCTCGACCTCCCAAAGTGTTGGGATTACAGGTGTGAGGCACCCCTCCCAGCCAGTCTCCTTCTTCTGTTCCAGGATCCCATCCAGGATAACATATTCCACTTACTCATCGTGCCTCCCCAGGCTCCTCTTGTCTGTGACAATTAATCAGACTTTGTTTTTGATGACCTTGACAGTTTGGAGGAGTACTGGTTAGGTTTTCTTTATAGAACACTCCTCAACCAGGATTGATCTGGTGTTTTGCTCATGGTTGAACCCGTGAGGTGGGTTTTTAGGAGGGAGACCACAAACATAAAGTGCAATAACTCATCATATCATATTAAAGTTACCTATGACACCATAATTTAACCTTGATCACCTGGCTGAGGTAGAGTCTGTCAGTTTTCTCCATGGTAAAGTGACGATTCTCTTCCTTCACCCGCCCCTGCCTTGTAACCCCTGAAGAGAGGGAAGTCACCATGCACAGCCCACACTTAGGGAGTGGGATGTTAGACTCCCCCTCCTTGAGGGCAGAATATATATGGTTATTTTTTGCAATTTTTCTGCACAGATTTGCCTATTTTATTCTGTATTTATTTCACGTATATCAGTATAAACTCCTGGATTTTTTAATACTTTGGTTTATAATCCATTGCAACTTTATTTATTTATTTTCTTGCTCGAATTGTTCCAGCTTTGGCCACTCGGAGCTCTTTCAGTGGCCCTTGTGTTTCTTTGACACACCCCCATCATTGTGTGTGTGTGTAGTTTTGTTTGAACAATTTCTAGCACTACAAGATCCTCCAGGCTCATCTTGTAGATTTCCTACCCCAGTCCTAGAATCAACCATTTCTCCAAAAAAATTTTTTTTAAATTGGAGAATGGCATTAAAAACAAAGATCTGGGTGTTAGGTGCTTGTTCTATTACTTTGGGTTGTGGACGGTTCCCCCTTTTACACTCGGAAGTCAGAGCTTTTCTATAATTATTTTTGATTTTTCAGAATGGGGAACTTTGGTCTGTAGTTCCTCTCTGCTCGTGGTGTCTGAACCTCTTCCAGCTCCATTTATGCCCATATTGACTCCTCTGTAAGCAAAACAACCGCGTGACTTGTAGGCGTAAATGCTTCATAGTCATGAGCAGTGGGGTTGAAGGTGGTGGTGGTGGTGGTGAGTGGTGGGTGGTGTTTTCTGTCTTGATTCCAGCACCTTCTTTGCTGATGCACCGTGCTTTGTTGACTCCCTTGTCCTTGGAAGCCCTGGATTCACGTCATGAGGGATGAAGTTAACCATGGCTCTGGAATTCCATCTCTGGATCGTGTGTCATCTCAGAGCATATTATCTTCAACAGAGTCTGGAACATTTCCTTCAACATGTGCCTGACACTTCTGTAATACCTTCCTACCCCCTTTTTTTAATTGTCTCCTGTAAAAAAGTAACCTGGGAAAACACAGTATCCTTTGCAAGCTTGAGCAACTCCACCATATTGGCTCACTGCTGCACAATAAACAACACATTTCAATGTCATGCAGCAAGAACTCATTTAGTCCGTGGTTTGTGGGTGGGTTGTGGCTGATCTAGGTGAACTTGGCTGGTTGGCTCTGTTGATCTCAGCTGGGTTTGCTCACACATCTGAGGGTCAGCAATGAGAGCTGGGCAATCTAGGGAGAATTGGCTGGAGTAGCTCTGGCCTATGCATCTATCATCCTTCTCCTAGTTCCAGCACACTAGCCCAGCATGTTCTTCCAGTGGCAACAGCAGACGCACCAAAAGGCAAGTGAGAACTGCAAGGCCACTTGACACGTAGTTCCAGAACTAGCAATAGTAAGTTCTGTCTCATTCTGTTGGCCAAAGTGAGCCACGCTGCCTAACTCAGCATCAAGAAATGGGGGAAATAGCCTCTGTCCTTTTAGTGGAGAGGGAACAGGCAGTCAATATTTCTGAACAATAGTCTACCACATCCCACTCTGTACTTCGCTTTCTGGTTACTTATCAAGGTTAAAAATGGTGTTTCTGGAATCTCTGAATTTTGTACAATAACCATGTGAAAGAACTGCAGAGATTCCAAAAGCTGTGATTGATGACACACTGTTAGGAAGGTGCTGGTGTTCACCAATATCCATGTTCCCGCCTCCACCTGAGCACCCACTATTCTATACTTCCCAGCTCTGCTGTATGTAGGTGGCACCATGTGACTAGTTCCAGCCAATGGAAAGAGACTAAAAGTGTTGGGTGTTACCTCTGGGTCAAGAAAATTAAGGGTGGCTGTGCCTTTTCTGTGTGCTCTCTTTCCTCATCTGCTCATTGGATGTAACAAATCTCGTGAAGATCCCCAAGGCCCTCAGGTACAGGAGAGCTATTTGATGGAAAGAGCCTGGGTCCCTGAATGACTATGTGGAGCACAGTGGTCTCCAAGCTATGCTATCTTGGACTTCTTTCACAAACTGTTGTCGTGTCAAGTCACTGAGATTTGGGATAGTTTGTTATAGCAGTTTGCATATCTTGACTAATATAACCCACCTTCTTGGTGGTCACTAGTGACACCTGTTGACTTCTTTAACTCTGTAAACTGTAACTTTTATAAGAATTATGTATCTGAGTGTTCATTTTTGATAAGTGACCTGAAGGTTTACTTAAGACATCCACCTACCATTCCCAGCTCTGACAATGTAACTGATTTTGCTTCAGAGAAATCATCCTCTCTCTAATCTTAGCTGATGTGATTCTACGGAAGGTGACCACACTTTCTGGAATCTAGGAGTAGTGTATGTAACCCAAGCTAAGCCAAGAGGGTCTTGTGTTCCTCCAGCCACAGTGATTGGTTCAGGGGTGCAGAAGTGGGCATGTGACCTAAGTTGGTCCAGATTTAATCTTAAGATGTTGGCTGGGCAGGTTGAAACCCCGAGTGCTTTTACTAGACATTATTAGAGAAGATGATAGATAGTCATGGTAGGGGCAGGCAGCTATCCTGTAATTATAAAAACAGCCAGCCTAAGGAGAAAGTTTATACTAAGGATGGCATAAGCTTGCACTAGAAACGGCAGAACAGAGCAATGGAAAGAGCAGGTCCTTGGCATCATATCAGACACCCGGATCAGGCCTTGCCTGAAGCTGACACTGTTGAATTCTCATTCAAACAAAGGTCAATAAGTAGCGTATATAGTTTAAGTGAATTAGTTGAATCTTCATTACTCATATGCAAACTATTTTCAGTGGATTCAGCCTTTATCACTTTTCTAATCAAGTAAGACAATGTTATTCAGAGAATGCAAAACAGTATCAAAATAATTGATCTTCAGGGATCACTTCTAGTTCTAAAATTTAAAGTTTACAAGGCCTAGTATGAATTCCCAGCACTTAAAGTGTTTACAGTGATCTACACCTAGGAATATCTGTTTATCTTGATAGCCAAGGAAAGTCTAATTGTTTGGAGACTTTGGGCAAAAAAGATGATGAATATAAAAGAAATACAGGCCTTCCCACACATGGGCAAATCCCCTTCATGGTTCCCATTGCTCTTTTTTTTTTTTTTTTTTTTTTTACGGAGTCTCTCTCTGTCGCCCAGGCTGGGGTGCAGTGGCCGGATCTCAGCTCACTGCAAGCTCTGCCTCCCGGGTTTACGCCATTCTCCTGCCTCAGCCTCCAAAGTAGCTGGGACTACAGGCACCCGCCACCTCACCCGGCTAGTTTTTTTGTGCGTGTTTTTTAGTAGAGACGGGGTTTCACCATGTTAGCCAGGATGGTCTCGATCTCCTGAGATCCGCCCGTCTCGGCCTTCCAAAGTGCTGGGATTACAGGCTTGAGCCACCGCGCCCGGCCTCCCATTGCTCTTAACAGGTTTTATACCTGACTGCTATCCACCTATCTGACCTTATCAGCTACACTCCCACCCACTCCCCAACTCACTGAACATTAAATCCTCCGAGCTCATTTCTGCCCCAGGACCTTTGCACCTGCTATTCTCTTTGCCTAGAATGCACTTGTGCTGACTTCTCCTGGAATCTACTTTAGGTTCTCCTCAGAGAGACCTTCCCTGATCACCCTGCTAAAGAAAGTCTTTCTTGATTGACACTCTTTACAAATTACTGTTTAGTTCCTTCACAGCATTTTTACAGGCACAGTATCTGGTTCATTTATTCCCTTGTCATCTGGTTCATTTATCCTCTCTTAGATTGAGAGTTCTTCAAGGGCAGGGCCTCTGCCCGTGCTGGTGTCCCTGGTGCTGGAGGCACCTGACACATGGCTGGTACAGAGCAAAAAGTAATCAGTCTGAGGAGTGAAACAGAGGCAGTAGTGGTGGTGGTGGTGGTGGTTGTTGTTGTTGTTGTTGTTTATTTTTTAGACGAGTAGGGAGTAGAAAATACTTGTAGTGTCATGATAAGGTAGGGAATTTCTGGGAGTGTGAGCAATGTGACAGGGAACAGGGAGCAGGGTGCTACTTGGAAACTCTTATCCAGGTTTATTCACAGAGACCCCTCCCCTCCCCTCCCCTTCCCTTCCCTTCCTTTTCTCTCTTTCTTTTTTCTGGAGACACAGTCCCACTGTGTTGCCCAGGCTGCAGTGCAATGGTGCTTTCACAGCTCACTGCAGCCTCAACCTCCCAGACTCAAGTGATGTTCCCACCTCAGCTTCCTAAGTAGTTGAGGCCATACCTAGCTAATTTTTTTCATTTTTTAAATTTCTGTAGAGATGAGGTCTCACTGTGTTGTCCAGGCTGTTCTTGAACTCCTGGACTCAAATGATTCTCCCGACCTGACCTCCCAAAGTGCTGGGATTACAGGTGTGAACCATGGCACCTGGCCTCATAGAGTATTTTAAAAAGGAATAAATAGAGAAAGAGAGAGAGAGAGTGTGTGTGTGTGTGTGTGAGAGAGAGAGAGAGTGAGAGAGAGAGAGACAGAGAGAGAGAGAGAGAGAGAGAGAGAGAGACCAACCAATAGAAAGACAGAGGAAGAGAAGATTCCTCATCCAAAGAAAACAATAGAATGAACATTAGAAGCTTCCTCAGATGCTTCACTTAATTTCTGCTTAACCCCTGGTATTTCAGGGTCTGTGCCCTCCCAGAGCCTTTATTACCCATGTGAACTTCTCCTCAAAGTTGCAATCTGAGAGCATCCACTTGGGGGAACAAAAGGACATCGCGGGCCACTGCAGTTCAGCTTCATCATTACATTTCACTTCCTTTTTATGAGATGGGAATAAAGATAGTTCCCTTAATTTCAGAAGATATGAAAATAATTTTTCTTTGGGCTGTTGGGTAAATGCTGTTAACTCAGATCCATATGCCCCTTCAGGTTTGGGGGGAACTTTCTCAATCAAATGTTGTGATTGAATGCAAACCTCAAAGCAGAAATTCAAAAGAATGAAGCTCAAGGCAGCTATATCTTGTTTCTGTTTTGCTTTAACCGAGAGTTAGAATACGCGATCAAAACCTATCTTTCCCTTCCTTATCCTTCGTTTTCCTTTTTCCAGCAGATAAGAAAAAAAAAAATAGCGGTGCTTCTTTTATGACTTAATTTTCAGAAGGATAATATCACACGGAGTTGGAGCCTCAGAAAACTGCTCTGGAAATTGATGTGCACACAGCCTGTTCTTGATGAGCTGAAAGAAGCATGAATGTTGAAACGGACCTGAAAAGGCAGTGGTAGGATGGCAAGGGAGACTGTGATATGTTTTTCTTCCATTTCTCCTTTTGAACATTGTAACATTTTCTTATTGTAGATGACCAAACCTCTACAAACCTGGTACCTGGTACCACCATGCTGCCGTTATTACTGTTTAAGTTGTCTCATGTGTCACGTGTCTGGTGTTACTTGTTCTTGGTGTTACTTGTTCATATTTTCTGGTTCATTTGGTTGATTTAAGATTTACTCTGTGTTGTCACGATTTGAGGAGGTTTTGTGTGTGTGTGTGAGACAGCGTCTTGCTCTGTCGCACAGGCTGGGGTACAGTGGTGCAAGCTCAGCTCATTGCAACCTCTGCCTCCTGGGCTCAGGCCATCCTCACACCTCAGCCTCCTAAGTAGCTGGGACTACAGGTGCACACCACCACATCTGGCTATTTGTGTGTGTGTGTGTGTGTGTTTTTGTAGAGACAGGGTTTCATCATGTTGGCCAGGCTGGTCTCAAATTCCTGGGCTCAAGTGATCTGCCTGCCTCGGCCTCCCCAAAGTGTTGGGATTACACGCGTTAGCCACCACATCCAGCAGAGGAGTTCTTAATTTCTGGTTTTTATGCTGGATACTGGATGGGAAAAGAGGAGGCAGCCACATTTTATGGAGGAGCTGTGGTCCAGCACCAGTAAATATTTACTCCACAAGTGATTTATCCCCTTTCATGCCATGATTAAAGTTTAACTTTCATTGAACAATTGCTCCATTTATATAGATGAAAATAAATAGTTGGGAACATATGTGACAGCTCTTTCACTGGTCTCCCCACAGTCCCCGTGGCCCCCCAGTAACCCATTATGTTCACAACAGTTTTTTTGAAAAAGAAAATCATGCCCCATTCCCTGCTCAACACATT